CAAGATGTAAGATCTGGTGTTGTGAGAAGGCATTAAATAGACTGTGCTGATTTATTAAAAAAATAACTGAATGACCCCACTTAGTCATAAAAGACAAAAAACATGCTACTTACAAAAGGGTGCAAGAAGAAAAGCAGTCCCAAATGAGAAGACATAAACGTTGCCACGCCTGGACAGAAGTCTGAAGTTTGTGAAGATGAGTACCATTATTCTTTTTTCTTTCTTTTTTTTTTTTTTAATAGGAGTTACAGGCTCCTTCTGCAGAAGGGGATGCTCACTTACCACAACATACAGTTCAAAATAATCTTCACTATTTGAAAGCTTTCTCAAACCCAGCTGTCACTGACTTTTTGCCACCTGACAAACACTAGAACAGAACTCTGATACACAGAACTACAATGACACAAGACAAACCTTAGCATGAGCCATTAATACAGAAAACCAGCTCAAGTGAAATCTGATGAGCCAGGACCACCAGAGAAATAACAGCTAACAGGATGTAAACACTCATGTAGTCTGCAATCTACTTAAACAGTAGAAAACACGTCACCAGCTGCATGGCTGTCAGCAGTAAGGGATTTTCTGCAGCTAGCTACTGTATATTTACAATCGTGCAGAAAATATACAGAAGGTACTTCTTATACATAGCATTTTCCCACTCAAAAGGTCTTAAAGCAGGTTACGAAAGGAGTTTTAGGAAAAGGAAGCAAGAATATGCAGGCAAAGTAAAATATCTGGGGTCATAGTGAAAGTCAGTGATGTCATTCATCTCCTTTGACTCCCACACACACAAAGATGGTTTCCACCTTCTATGAGGCTTAAACGCAACATGCTGACAAGCAGAGGGGTTTGGATAGCTTTTACAGTTAAGAATTTGATCTGCTACTTTTCCCACAAATCCAGTTTCTCCCAGAGAAGCCTTTGGCCCATTGGACCCCAGAGAACACTGTAAGAACTTAAAGGCACAGAAAACAATGAACTAGTTCAGGAAAACTCAAAACTGAGCCTGGTAAAGGCAATCAGCAGACCAAAATGTAGGTGCAGCTCATCTCTACAAGCTAGCACCAAGACTGCAATGACCTGCAACAGAACAAACAGACACACAGCCCCACAGTCAAACTTCCCAGTCCTGTGAGCTGTGAGACGTACCAATTAACAGCTTCGGGAAATTGGATGTTTCGATATTATGGTAGTAGACAACCGATGTGATGGCTGCCAAGAATGCCATCCCAGCCGGCATGTACAGGTGCAGATGGCGCGATTCTGAAACCCTTAAAAAGAAAAAAGTGAACATTAAAATCAAACCCTCTTAGCTATTTAAATGTTTCCCTTTTAATTTAGGAATTGTATCCTGTACTCAGCCCTGATGTAGGATTTTCTAGAGTGAGATACAGGTGTAAAGCTCTCAGATTTTCAATTGGATTTATGCTCCTAAATCACATAGTGGGATTTCAAATTCCTCCTCTGTGCTGAAAATGAGATGTATGTACTCTTATTTCCTACTGAAATTCATCGGAAGGTTGTTTAAATTAGGATAAGCAGCTCAGCTCCAAAATGAGAAAAGTTAATTTAAGCTAAACTAGTTTGGGAGCTGTCCATCAAAATATGTAGATGAGACCAACTGACAGCACAATTTAGCATTTTCCACAGAAACCCTTTGTGGAAATGTTTCATTTTCTTTTTCAGTTTGGGAGAAAGACCAGCACCATGACATGGGAATTATTTACAGCAAGTTCGGTTTTCAGTGACTGCAAAACAAGAAACAAAACCTACAACAGAATCGCATATCCTTAAGTTTCATCCTATATAGCAAAACGCTCCTGACACTTTGCTTCAGGTAGCAGTGGAGGGGGTCCTGGCAACTACAGTCCTTTGGGAATATGGGAATTAATGGACAATGCTGTTGGTTTCTGTGGGGGGGTAGAATCCTGCTCCCCTCCTTCTTTCAACCTACTTGCCATCTTCTCCTCCTCCCCTTTTCTTTCTTTCACAAAAGTAATGAAGTGTCCTCTGCTGTCAGAAGGTACAAATCTGTCTCCCAGCCAACTCTGGGAGAAGAGGCACCAAGGGGAAGTCTTCAGGGCACAGACACTCAGGGAAATTCACATCTTGTCCTCTGAAACTCATGGAAAATAATTCCGCATCTCTGGATTTGTTCTTGCTGCAGTAAAAGCTACCTTTGCATAGTCTGCAAACACAAAAGTGGCGGTACTGTCAGGGAGCTGGAGATGATCAGAGGACATCACATGCCTGAGAGAAGAACATCCCAAATGCCTAACAGATCTGTAGGAGCTCAGGAGGACCACTTCCTACATCCATATTGGGAAAGGAAAGCCCTCTCTCACAAGGACATTATGGTGAACTTGGCAGAGCTGTCTGAAGCCATGCTGAAAACCTGTGACATGACCACTTAACTCTTCTTGTTGACAAGGAGTTGTAAGTGTATACAGCAAAATGAGAAAAGATTCTGCAGTCTCTGAA